CTCTCTCTCTCTCTCTCTCTCTCTCTCTCTCTCTCTCTCTCTTTCTCCAAAGGAGTGAAGAGGGCATTAATAAAAATGTGGCTGGCTGTGACGAGAGATCTGTCCGCTGGAAATGAAGGGGCCAATGGGGTTGGGGGGGACAAAGGGGGTGTGGGGGGGGTGGGGTGCATGCAGTGGTGTAGAGGTGGATATCTCTGTTAGTTGTCAGCGTTTAGTCCATGGCTGTGGAATGCTAATGAGTGAGCTCTTTCTCTCCCCACTTTTCTCTCCTTCTTTTTCTCAGTCCTCCCCTCCTCCCCCCTCCTCCTGTCCACCCCGCCTTCTCACTCTCTCAGGGAGGAAAAAAAAAAAAAAGCGGATCGATAGCTGACCCCATGGTTTTGGCCAGTGCTTTATTTATCTAGCCAGGCAATGATATTATCAGCCTTGAACGTTATATACAGCAAACGTCTTCCTAAATCAACACAAAGAGATCCGCTTACACAGCGATCCAGCCTTTCTCACAATCACCTCTCCCTCTCTCCGTTTTCTTCCCTCAGACAGCATGCGCGCGCACATGATTGTGAATATACGCGTTCGCGCACAAGCTCTCATTGGACGTGCCCGCACACAGACATGAAGAAATTATCCCCCCCCCCCCCCCAAAAAAAAAACCCAATCCCACCGTCGCGGTTTTACGCACAGCTATGACCGTCGTGCGCGTAAGCAGGGAGGCGTCCACTCTGTGTCACATTCACAGCCCAGACTGAGGAGCTGGGTTTGATCCTCGGCTTAAAGGTTGCCTGTGTGGTCTGCGGACACAGCTCAGGGCAGTTACTAACACGAGATATGCCTCTCAGTAGAACGTGGGTTGATGCGTAAAAGTGGCACATTTCCCTCAGAAATCGAAATAAATTTGGGACATTAGTGCTCACTGTTGCCTTCCAGCCATCTTTGCAAGCTTGGGCGGATGAGATATAACTGACACGACGACGCACTTGTTGTCCTGCCTGTGTGTGTGTGTGTGTGTGTGTAAGTGTGTGTGTGCTGTCATCGCTTTTACGCACAAGACAATATTAGAAATAAGCCGTGTCATGCTTCAGAGAGGCTCCCATTCATACTCGGAGCCGCTGTTTGAAAATTGTGATTGTCTCAAACAACAGTATTTTATCAAATGTGACCAGGGAGACAAATAAATAAATAAATAAAAAGCTCAGCTATAAGTGAAATGTAGTGACGTGTGACGCCAATATGGGACATTTTCCACCGCCGCCGCGCTCTCTTTACATTGAGATTTTTTTTAGGGGGAAACAGGCTCACTGACAACTTAGGATAATAAATGTTTCGCTTTCAGACAGATATCTCAAACGTGAAATCGCACCCAGCTGCTTGTGTAAAGCAAACAAATAGCCCCCCCTCCGTGTTAGGAGTCCTCCACTTGTGGTTTGATGAATGAAACCAGACAAAGGTAAATGGTTGTTTAACTCATTTCAGAGTAACACTTTGGTAACCAGAGTTTCCGAAATTATAGACACAAATGGAGCCTATATCCATCTCCCTGACCCACCGCAGCCACATGAGGGAATCTGACAGGGCACGCGCCATTTTCCTCCTATTTTTTAAATTTATTTATAAGCTCAAAAAAGCTATTAATAAACACAAAAAAATGCTGAAGGCGTAACAGTCATTTGAAATGCTGCGTAATACAGTAGTTTAAGCCTCTGTGAAGAGGAAAATCCAAGAGTCCAAATACAAATTACCACGTTTCCTCGAGTCTTCGTGTTTTGCTTGTATTGCCTGTACTGAAACGTTAATTAGGAACACATGCCACCATTTCATCTGTTTTTTTTTAAACTGCTTTATATAGCCCGCAGTGTAACAATTGTATAACAGAATGCTCTCAGCAAGAGGATAAAAAGAAAGTTACTCTGGAGGGATTCTGAATTCATTATGTGGAGACAAGCAGCAAGAAGCTGCGTCTCCTTATCGTCTGAATACAACCTGGACTGTCGTGGAAATCTATGCTTTATCAATTATTTATTTATTTTTACTTTTAAAGTAATGTTTATCAACTTGATGATATCATTTAAAATTAATGACAAACTGGCAATATAATTCCAGTGTGCGGTATTTTCGAGAGCGTTTTACATGTGCGTATTTTATTTATTTATTTTACATTTTGCTTTATAAATGTGTTTACTTTTTTGGTTAATGTTCAATATTATTATTACTATTTTATGTTAGGCTCAGGATATTCAGTACAAAGCAGAGAGGCAAAGCTCCTGCAGCTCATTATTTCCCACCTGACCCAAAGGTCGGTGAGGATGAGCGCATCCACAGTCAGGAAACAGCGATCAGTGAAAAATAGCAACATTTGCGCTTGATCCCAGCGGTTGTTCCCAACATTTTCAGATATATGACCCAGTCTGAGTCGATGTGAAGCTCAAACAGCAGATCTGAGTTCGTGGAAGCATTTGAGGACAACCTGAAGCCCAGCCCATGTCAGCCAATTAATACTGTAATAGTGAAGAAATAAAGAAAGACGCTCGTGCTGTAATTTTATAAAGCAGATTATAATAAGGCAACATCACAATCAGCCATGTTAACGCAGCTTCTGTTCTGTCCTTCATCAAACAATGGCAGCCTGAGGATGACGATGTGAGCAAAATGGCTGAGAAGCAGCGCATCTGATGATGATGAGGAGGAAGAGCATGAGACAAACCAAAGAAAATGTCAAACAGAAACCTTTTTATTTTCAGCCTAGTATCCAGTTTTGTGTTTTAGTGACTCTTGTGGCTAAAATGTAAATAACTGAGCCTGTGTTGTCGTTTGGAGATTAAAACGCAGATATGGAGCCTTGCAGTGGAAGAAGCGCATGAGCCACCTTACACACTTATTACACCCTGAATGCATCAAGCAAACCAAGGCCACATCTTCTTTTCTCTCTCTCTCCTCCTCACACACTTGACTTTCTTCTAACACGTTTTTCCCCCTCTCATTTGTCTGAACACTGCTTGCTCTCTCTCTCTCTCTCTCTCTCTCTCCATTCCCACACAATGCATCACACTCGGTGTTCCTATCGACTGGCTTACATGCTGTAAAATACATTTTCCAGATTGATCACGCATATCACAGCAGCTTTGCAGCGGGGCCTAACCCTTTTGCCAAAAATGACGCCCACATCAATACCGAGCAATGCAGTGCGCCATCAGAGCAGGAGTTTTTTTTTGTTTTTTTTATGAACGGAGAAAAGAGGGGGAGATATTGTTTGGCTTGTGGAGAATCACCTTGATTAAGCCACCGGATGAAGGCTAAAGGTGGCTCTGTGTGGCGCGCAGGCTTCCCCTTTTTGTCTGGGAAAAATATCAAACATTAATGCGCCCACAGGCTGGCAGAGCGCGCACTGCTGCAGTTCCTCACGTATCGTCTCCCCCTCTTTGTGTCCGCAATGTCACTCATGTCAGATAGTCTTTTAAAATACAAAACAGTGTGTGATTGTTACAAGTCGTCCCCCTCCCCTATTTTGAATTAACTAGGTTTTTTTTTTGCGCTTTTCTTGTGCGCAAAAAGGCACCACATCCCCCCTGACGGCTTGAGAATAAGACAGCATTGCCCTTTTTGTTGTTTTTTGTTGTTGTTGTTGTTTTTAATAGTACAGTCACCATCACACAACTTCATCAACCGACCTTTCTGCAAAAAAAAAAAAAAAAAAAAAGAGGAAAAAAGCTGCATCATGGAGTAAGCAAATCGAAGGCAACAACCAATAAAATTCAAGAAACAATGATTTTTTTTCCCCCAAGACAAAACAAACAAAATGTTTTTGAAATGATATATTAAAAGTGCTTTTTTTTCTTTTTTTTGATTTTCATGTCTCTCCTCTTTGACTTGATGACCGACACTCCACACGCACTCGTTGCCCCCGCGCTAGGGAGGAGGAGGGGGTTGGAAAAGGCGCCCCCAGACGTTCCTGGAGTTAAAAATGTCATTAAAAATGTCCTGGAGGTCAGTTTGCTGCTGCTGCAGGTCCATCGTGTATCAGTTGGGGGGTGTGGAGGTGTGTGTGTGAAACTAAAAAGAGTTCAACCATCAGTTGTTCATATTGTCACAGCGATCAGACTGTTTCTTATTTGTCTAAATTTCTTTATTTGTCTGTGATGTTTCTTTTTTTTTTCCTCTTCCTTTAAATTCTCACTTCAATTTTAATTCTTGGAGAACATAGCTTCGACAACATATATCGCACTCATTATAAGAAGCAAAAGGTTATATCAAAAAAATTATTAGTATAGAATCACAGAAAGCCTGGTTTAGAACCAGAAAAAATACAAAACAGAGAGGTACATAGACACAGGACAATTCTTATAATTGCTTGGAAACATTATTTTTCCGCTAAGTCTTGATTCATTTTTTTTTCTTCTTACTGCGCATATGATGTTTTTCATTTTATTTGTTTTTTTTTTTACAAAAAAAAAAAAAAGAAAATAAAGACTAGTATTTTACAAAATGAAGAGTATTGTTCTTGACGATGAGGGTGGATTTACACAAGTCCAGTTTCAATATTTCTCTGTACATGATGTATTCCATCACAGTTCCAGAAGACAGGAGAGAAAAAAAAAGTAATGTCTTCCAAGTTTCTCAGAAAAAAAAAGGTCCTATATATAAAGTCTTCTTGAAGGAGGATGTGGGTGCAGAAATTTGGTCCTTTTTGTTCGTTCCACTTTCTTTTTTCTCACGTAAGGATCATTGGATGGACATGTAAGGCCAGTTGAAGCTGCTCCCGGATAATAGCATATCCCTGATGAGGGTTTCAATAGGAGTTTTACCTACCAAGCGGACGAAGAACAGCTGCTCAATTACCGAGGAGGAGACGGTGCGTAGAGAGGGCAGCCGCAGCAGGAGCTTGCCAAAGCGGCTCGGTTGGTTAGGATACTGGCTCCTCACATACTCCTCCAGTGCGCACTGGGATTTCTCTTGCAGGCTCTCGATGTGAGCAGCGTCCGACAGGCCGCAAGCGTCTGTGAAACACACCAAACACAAACACACTGCGGTCAGAAGCCTCATCCAAAACCTCAAGCTGCAGTAAGGTGAAAGCTGCATTGGCTTCTAATATGTTAGATTTCGTGGAATGAGTCAAATAACAAGTGAAAGCTAAAAATACTTTTCTAATTGTGTCAGGTCACCAAAGGGAAGCAGGCGTCTGACGTCACACGCCGCTGTCTTTTTATTTCTTACATGTATTTAATGTCTGGTTTATATTTACCTGACCAAACACTTTTTAGGATTTGCCAAGCGGACACCTTTGCCTTATAACACAATTTATGCCGCGTAAAAGCTCTTTAGTTATCATTCAGGACCTGCCATTACTTGTTATTGACAATGTGGAATGAACAAACAAGCTGCCCAAACATGCGACATCACACCGAGCAGGGGACCTGCTGCTGGAGGGGCTCTAACCAACTGGATGCAGAGTAAAATGTTAGAGTAGGGCAATGGAGGGGCAGCATTCAGGCCCAAATGCCTCTGCTCTTTATGTCTGGACTCGAGGGATTTAAGAGTAAGGCAACACAAACGGCTCTGAAATGACACTGGATGTAATGTGACCTAATTACTGCGCAATAAGTTAAGTGATTTCGCTGCTCTTCTCTCCATAGACCACTTCTGGCCTGCTTTTTCCCGTGTAGCCTATAGGACAGGGCCGCTGAAAGCACGTTTATTAAAGGAGGTGAAGTCAGTAGTTACAGGGAAGCGACGGAAAATGTCACAAAGCGAGCATGCGTAATAGCGCAGGCACGAGACGCGCCTGGCGCCCACTGGTGGGTTGTGCAGCAGTGCAAACAAAAGGATACACGTTTTTGTCTGCTGTAAAAGTGTCTTTTTTTTCAAAAAAAATATTTATTTCCACCCAAGCCAAGCGCGCGTCTTGTGCTGCTTGTAAAGCGCGAGCATGTGGTCCCACAAGAAGACGGAGCTGTCCTCAGAAGATCTGAGCGCAGCTTTGGTAGAAACAACTCCACGAAAGGCAGCTTTAGTCCACCAGCACTGAATACTGAGCAGCTGACAGAGGCTTTTAAGCCCAGTCCTAATTTCTCAGCTCTATAACTCACTACGGCCAGACACAATAACCTCCTGAACCCCCGGGGGGTGCGGAGGGGGGGGTGGTCAACGCTGAGATCTCCGGGTGATTTACTGTGACCTTAGTGCGGACACATAAATGCAAATCCCTCCGAGTTTTTTTTTTTTTTCTTTACGTTTTTCTTTTATATGAATTATATTTGTGAACTTCTAGTAAAGCATCGCATGACTTGGTATTTGCAAAGCAGCAATGTGAAAAAAAAAAACAAAAAACCAACATCAAGGCACAGCAGAAAGTAAGCTGCAGCTGAATGCTTGAAGAGAAAGCTGGTCTGAGACACCACACAGCTCCAAAAGGCCTCCCTGCCTCCAGAAGAGAGCGATGGGAGCAGATCGCTTCCAGACCCAAACGACTATTTCTGTAAAGTTTTAGCACGCACACATACACAACAACACCAAGTGTGTGTGCAACGCAAGTTTAAGACAAAAATCCAGATCTAAATAGTTTACTCCAGCCACCATTATTTCTGCATCAAATACAAAGCTGCTGTTTTTAAGGCAAACAAGCCACGCTGATATTGGCAACGTGCCACGTGACTTTCTCCAGCCGACACCAGTTTGTAGCCCATCATCTGCTGGAAAGCACGGGGGGCGGAATATGTGGGGTTTCTTTAGAAAATAATGATAAATTAAAAAAATCTCCAAAACGCGTGAAATAGACATCTGTGCACGGTTCCAGCTGCAAGAAGTGCGGACTAACTGTAAATAAAGTAAATAAATGTATTTAAATACCACAAAGAGTTAATAAAAGTAAACACACGTATTGTGCGCGTACAAATACATTTATCCTCACTCAAGCACGACTATTCTTGGTTTGAAACCCCACTAAAACTGCATCTTAAATTATAGTTTCTAAAAATAAAACAGTAAACAACCAGAACAACTAGCAGCTGTTGTAGTTGGTTAAAAGAGGATCACTGAATGCAGAGTGCTCTGAAATACAATTTTAAGCTTCTTTAAAAAGTAATTAAAAACAAATAAATTTAGTGTAATTAAAATTAAAATAATTAATTCATTGCCTTATTAAACACAGTAATTTAATAACACACGATGTATAAATTTAATATAATATAAAATAGTAAATTGTGAATTATAAGAGCTAATGTCTGTTAAAGATATTAATAAATAATAATTACTGAAAATTATAATTTAACACTTTCATTTATAAAATGCACTTATGGTATTTTCTATAAGAAAATTAAAACAGCCAATTATTTCCAAATAAATCCAAATTTAAAAACTGCTGAAAGTCTTAGTATTCCATAAGGACCCTCTGCAATTATAGATGCTATAAACCTTGGTTTAGAATTTTTGTGACGGGTCAAACATTAGAAGAGTGAGGTCAAAACTTTGAGAAAAGTTTCAAAGTAGTTTTCCAGTCTGTGAGAGAGTTCAAAGTTTCCTTTCCTTCCCCATAATCACCAGACTCCCCCTGACACAACAGGCCTAATGGCACCGAGCGCGCGCAACTGACTCCTAAATGACGCAGCGAGAGTAAATAAGGACATTTAGGAGCCCAGACCCCCAGTCAGCCATCTATTAAGCTATCAACAATGTAGGTTACTTTTAAAAACTGCTCCTGATTACTTTTCAAAGCTGCGGCGACAGAGCAACCTCAGTAACTAAGAAAATTAGTGGGTCAGCTCAGATTAATCCACTAATAACGTGCGTTATTAAGTGCTGCTCTGCGTCCTGCAGAGGCGCTCAACTGACAGGCGAGTTCACTTCCATCAGCTTTTTTTTTTTTTTTTTTGATCTCGGTCTGTTAAGGATTATTTCCTGCCCCCGAAGACACGTGTTTGTGCACGATAGAAAAACACACACACAGGGATAAAGACACGCAGCTACGCTCATAAATGCATCAGCAGCCATACATCAGCCCACTGACAAACTGTTTCATCTTGACGCGCGATTATTTGACACCTGTTCCAAAAACGTTAGGACGCGAAGGAGCTCCGTGTTGCAAAAAGAAAAAAAAGGGGAGTTAGACCAAATAAAATATAGATTATTAACTTTGTATTTAGTGTCAGATTTCAAAGGGATCTGCGAGCAGAGATACACTTTTAAAGCTGATGCGCTTCTGGGTTTGTTTACACGTCTGCTGCTGCGGCTAGATGTGACATGGGAATGCATGTCAGTGGATATGATGCAAGCTGTTGACAAAATGGCTTTTTCATTGGCAACACACACACACACACACACACACACACACACACACACACACACACA